CCCACACCTTTTATTTTATCTCCACGGCGTCGCGGAACACTGCGATAGAAGGGTGAGCCTGTCCGCACGCGAAGAAGAAGTGCTGCACTCACGCACGTCTGTGTGGGTCCTCACGACTCCTCACGTCTAGTCGTGTCAGTGAAATCACCGATAGGAAATACAGAGGAGGGCTCGACTCTTTCCGCAGAGCACTTCAGTTGTGTGTGGCAGTACATTTTCAGCCTAAGTGGTGTTCTCTGGTTCAGAAAAGTATCATCTATCTTGTCGTATATTACCTTATCTGATACTGATGTTATCTTATGTTGAGTGGTTGCTGTTGTAGATGTTGTTGTTGTTGAAGTTGTACTTGTTGTTGCTATTGTTTTTGTCGTTTTGGTCGTGGTGTTTAAAAAAAAATTCTGCTGTAGTTGCTGTTGTTGTTATAATTGTTGTTATTGTTGTTGTTGTTATTGTTGTTGTTGTTATCATTGTTTTTGTGTCTTTCGTCAAGTTTGATTCTTTTTAAAAGTTGAATAAGCATACAGTACTGAATTGGGCGTTTAACCCAACACTTACTTTTCACCGATACTGCTACACTTTTGGCCGATGTTTTTGGAATTTACTCTCCAAGTGGATGGTTGACGGGCGCTCTGGTATGGTTTACTCCTTCTTTCCTATCAAACATCTGTCGTCTTTATCTCTCCTCCTTCTTTTTGTGTTTGTTACTCTCTTGTAACACCTCTCATCTTCGGCACGTATATGACTTTATTGTGTTGCAAGTGTCGTAAAATTGTTACTAAAACTTACTCTCCAATGTTCTTGTTTGCCCAGGTGATATCAAAGAAAGATATTGAGTTCAAGGACGTTGATGGAAAGGTCAAATCTGCGTCTCAAAGGTTAGTTATCCTATGGTTGTTGTTAATGGGTTGTTTTTGTGGGGTTTTTTGTTTTGTTTGTTTTGTTGTTGTTGTTTTTTGTGTTTTTTTTTTGGGGGGGGGGTTGTTTTAGGTTTTTTTTAATTATTTGAAATATGGCTTAATCTGAAAACCCTCAAAAACTGATTTGGGCGATTATGGAATGATACTGACAAAATGCAGATAATAATCTATTATCTATTTGTGGTGACCGAATTTTGCTATTCAAAAGGCTTTTTAATGGTTTCATCCATCAACATGCGGTTTTCGCCAAAAGATTCTTTAAAATATTATCCAGATCATGACACCCCTAGTTTTTTCAGTTTTGAGACAATTTTTGTTGAAAAAAGCTAAATTTCTTTATTTCGCCGATCGTTTTTGTAGGCCGACGCTTCTTCTGTCTCTGTAATTTTAGAAAACCCGGAAGTGATATTTCGCGAGGTGCATTTTGAGAGTATAGATCTAGACCTTCTCATTTTGTGCTTCTCCCAAGATTTATTTCCCCATTCCAGTAGAGTGTAAATATAGTAGGCTAATGACTTTTAGTTGATGTTAAAGCACCGATCATTCCTTTCATCGAAAGGGGGCACAGCTAGTATTATCTAATTCACTCATCCGTGTCTCTCTGTCTTTCTTAACTTCTCTGTGTCTGTCTGTCTGTCTGTCTGTTTGATTTTTTTCTCTGTGTCTGTCAGTCTTAATCAGCTTATAATAAATTTCTTTGGCTATTTCATTCACCACTGTGTGTGTGTGTGTGTGTGTATGTGTGTGTGTGTTATGTTTTAGTAATAGTTTTACGTCGCTCACAACTGCATAAAGTCGTATGAGCGCTTGTGTGTGTGTGTATGTGTGTGTGTCTATGTGTGTGTGTCTATGTGTGTGTGTATTGATCTGATTGACTCCTATGCGCGCGCGTGTGTGTGTGTGTGTCTATATGTGTGTGTCTGTGTTTGTCTATCTGATTGGCTATATGTGTGTGTGTGTTCCCCCAGCCTGCAGAGACTACAGACAGATGTGTGGGTACACAGCCAGAGAGAGAAGGAGATGTGTGTGCGTGTGTGTGTGTGTGTGTGTGTGTGTGTGTGTGTGTGTGTGTGTCTATCTGATTGACTCATATGTCTATGTGTGTGTGTCTATCTGATTGACTCATATGTCTATGTGTGTGTGTCTATCTGATTGACTCATATGTCTATGTCTGTCTGTCTATCTGATTGACTCCTATGTGTGTGTGTGTTCCCCCAGCCTGCAGAGACTACAGACAGACGTGTCAGTACACAGCCAGAGAGAGAAGGAGATGGTGGAGGCTCTCAGGGACAGTGAGGATGTGTTAGCTAAACGACGTGGGGAGATACAGAGGATGAGAGACCAGGTATTGTTTGTGTGTGTGTGTGTGTGTGTGTGTGTGTGTGTGTGTGCATGTGTGTGTGTGTGTGCATATGTGTGTGTGTGTGTATGTGCATGTGTGTGTGTGTGTTCTATGTGTATGAGACAGCGAGGATGTGTTTTCCAAACGACGCGAAGAGATACAGAGGATGAGAGACCAGGTAGGTGAAAAACACCTTTATGCTGATTGTGCGTGTGTGGTTTTGTGTTTTTGTACGTGTGTGTGTAGGCATGTGTATGCCAGGGCCAACCTGGGCAGAGAGGGATACAACATTCCAGCTGAAAAGACCGAGATATGCTCTTGAGAAAAATTTTCCTCTCCGATTCTTTACATGCGACGGTGAAGTGCCTAATGCCTACACCATAGATGCCAGTGTAGATATTTAATGGGATTTTCATGCGGACTGAGTTTCAGGTAGGCCCTACTCTGATATGTGTATTTAGTGTGTGACGTCAGCATTTGTTTACGGCTCCCTGTTTGTTTGGTTTCTGATCAGTCTGTGGTGCTGTAAGTGTGGCTTTTTGTGTCGTTTCTGCTCATATGACTTGTGTTATAATGTCCAAGACTGGGCTCTCATGAGATAACTCTGGTTCACTATGGTGCGCACCATATTTTGACTTTATTTGGAATCATATGAAGGGCAAGTAAGGAAAAATTGCATACGTATACTTGGCTATAGCAAAGATCGTAGATAAAAAGATAGTTCACTCCTCTCCTTGAGCCATTTAAAAAGTGTCCTCAAAATTTGGTGGCGCCCTCTTCGAAAAAGCGCGGACTTTGCGCTCAGGGTTGCTCTACTTGTGTAGGAAACAATACAAGTGAAAGTAACAGACTGTAACGTTGCTGTTCTTATTTCTTCTCTTGGAGAAACGAAAGAGAGTTTCAAAACAAAGACTGCAGCGCCATCGCAAGCAACGTGCGGACTTCCGCTGACATTTTTTTTGGCTGAGTGAACTATCTTGTTATGTACGATCTTTGGCTGAGTGGACCATCTTGTTATGTATGATCTTTGGCTGAGTGGACTTTTTTGTTATGTACGATCTTTGGCTAAGTGAACTATCTTGTTATG